CTCAGAAGTTTTGTCTCTTCCATAACATTTGCTAGGTAGCATATTACTTATTGTTATTTGTCATCATGAAAATGGCTAGCAAAATTGGAGAATCTGTAATTTTGTAAAATAGAGTGCAACCTCATGTTTCAGTTGAATTTTAAAGTGCTTTCATGATCATGCTTCATCTCAGTACAAAATAGTGTTAAGAGTCTACTATTTAAAGGTCTTGTTTTTGTAAAAGCCACATTAATGATATTCAAAAGCACACCAATTGCAATATTTAGCAACATGTTGAAATTGAACAAGAGGACCGGGCATGGTGGCTAACGCCTGTATCCCAGCACTTTGGGAGGCCGAGGCAGATGAATCACCTGAGGTTGGAAGTTCAAGACCAGCCTGACCAACATAGAGAAACCCCATCTGTACTAAAAATACAAAATTAGCGGGTCATGGTGGTACATGCCTGTAGTCCTAGCTACTCGGGAGGCCGAGGCAGGAGAATTGCTTGAACCCCGGAGGTGGAGGTTGCGGTGAGTCGAGATCACAGCATTGCACTCCAGCCTGGGCAACAAGAGTGAAATTCTGTCTCAAAGAAAAAAAAGAAAAAGAAATTGAACAAGAATCAGGGGCCCCATTGTCATCCCCACAGCGCTAAGGGGAGTCTACTATTCCTTTAGCATTCACCACTCACTAGGCATGACATAGGGCTCTGACAAACAGAATACAAGGGGGTTCACCATTATCAGTTCACATATTAATTATTAGTAACGCTTAATATTTTTATCCTTTAGAAAAATAGTAGAAATAGAAATTTCATCCCTTTTCTCAAAGGATTATCTCACACACTCTGAGAGGGGTCCTGTCCTATTTTGTAGACCACTGTTTTACAGGAAGTGCTGTGGGCTGAACTGTGTCCCTCAAAAAGATGTGTTCAAGTCCTAATCACTGGTACCTGTGAATGCGACCTTGTTTGGAAGTAGGGTCACTGCAGATATAATGAGTTAAGATGAGGTCATACTGGAGTAGCATGCAATATGACGGGTGTCCTCATAAGATGAGAAAAAGACATGTTTGTTAAAAAGATGTGAAGAGAAACAGCATGTGATGATGGAGGCAGAGCTTGGAGCAACGCATCTACAAGGGAAGAACATCAGGAATTGTCAGCAAGCACAGTAGGGCAAGGTGATGGAGAGACCTGGACAGGTGAGAGCTCAGGAGGGAAGGCATGTCACTGGCTTCAAATGCATTGCAGGAAGCAGGAGGATGTGAGCAAAAGCCCTGGAATGTACCTGCTTAGGGCTAGGGGCTGGGAGAGGAAACATTTCTGCTCAGAGGGGCAGAGGGACTCAGGGAAGTAGAAGATGCATCGGTGCTGGACGAGGTGGCTCACGCCTGTAATCCCAGCACTTTGGGAGGCTGAGGTGGGTGGATCACTTGAGGTCAGGAGTTTAAGATCAGCCTGGGCAACATGGTGATCTCAAATGCTTCTACTCTACTAAACTACAAAAATACAAAATTTAGCCTGGCATGGTGGTGGGCACTTGTAATGTCAGCTACTAGGGGGCTGAGGTAAGATAATCTATTGAACCCGGGAGTTGGAGTTTGCAGTGAGCCAAGATCACACCACTGCACTCCAGCATGGGTGACAGAGTAAGACTCTGTTTCAAAAAAAAAAAAAAAAAAAGAGAAAAAGAAAAAGAAGATGCATCCGGGCATCGGGGCATCGGGACAGGTTGGGTCCAGATGGTTGGGAAGAGTCCTGAGTGCCCATTCCTTTTGCCTTGTTGGGTTTCCCTTTTCTGGCATCTGCATTCCTGCTCCCCTCTAGTTATTGTAACCCTGTCTAGTTGTTTTTCTTAAGATTTTCTTGTGACACGTATCTGGGCTTCCAGGTGGCCCACCAACACTTCAGATCCCTCCATTGCCTTTCCCACACACAGGACCGCTCATAGTCTCTCTGCCTTGAATGCTGAAATTCTGCCACACTTAAGTCATCACTTGAGGGCTTGATTTATAAAGGTCCGCTAAGGTGATGCACTTCTATTGAATGGCATGCTAAGCTGCGTTGAACAGATTGATAGTGTTAATTAAAAAACAAGGTGTAGAAATCGTTTTGTTTTTTTTTTTGGGGGGCGGGGATGGAGTCTTGCTCTGTAACCCAGGCTGGAGTGCAGTGGCATGATCTTGGCTCACTGCAACCTCTGCCTCCCAGGTCCCGGTTCATGCAATTTTCCTACCTCAGCCTCCCAAGTAACTGGGATTACAGGCATGAGCCACTATGCCCAGCTAATTTTTGTATTTTTTTGTAGTGACGGGGTTTCACCATGTTGGCCAATCTGGTCTTGAACTCCTGACCTCGTGATCCGACCACCTCAGCCTCCCAAAGTGCTGGGATTACAGGAGTGAGCCACCCTGCCCAGCCAGAAAAGGTTTTTTTAAAGGAGGCTTTTGTTTTTATATATAAAAATTTACATGTGCATAGCGTATGCCTATTAGACTTCTTCCTTCAAAATAAACAAAAACAAGTAAATAAACTAGTAGAAGATATTGCCTTTGGAAGGAAATGGGTATCGGGAACAGGAATGAATGCCAGTTTGCTTTTCAATATGTATGCTTTTGTACTCAAAACTTTTTATTTTTTATTTTTTGGGACAGAGTCACGCTCTGTCACCCAGGCTGGAGTGCAGAGCCACGATCTCAGCTCACCGCAACCTCTGCGTCCTGGGTTCAAGTGATTCTCCTGCCTCAGCTTCCTGAGTATCTGGGACTACAGGTGCGCACCACCACACCCAGCTAATTTCTGTATTTTTAGCAGAGACGGGGTTTCACCATGTTGGCCAGGCTGGTCTCGAACTCCTGACCTCAACTGATCCGCCCACCTTGGCCTCCCAAAGTGCTGGGATTACAGGCATGAGGCACCAGGCAGGGCCTTGTACTTAAAACTTTTTGTGCTATGAAAGGGAAATAAATCTTGGGGTCCCTAATCATTCAGCTAAAGGGAAAAGTCAAGCTGGGAACTGCAAAGGGCAAACCTACCTCCCATTCCATTCAGTCACTCCTCTGTTCACTGTGGTAAATGCATATCTGATTGTCTCATTTGGGGTGGCTAATCAGAAAATGAAAAGAATATAACCATTTGTCTCCTCTCTACCTATGCCCTGGAAGCAGCCTCCCTGCTTTGAGCTGTCCTACCTCTCGGGACTGAACCAAGGTACATCTTACACGTATTGACTGTCTCATGCTTCCCTGAAATGTATAAAACCAAGCTCTGCCCTGCCCCCTTGGGCACATGTTGTCAGGACCTTCTGAGGCTGTGTCACGGGTGCAAGTCCTCAGCTTTGGCAAAATTAACTTTCTAAATTAATTGAGACCTGTCTCAGATTTTCAGGGTTCACAGACCATGTATATACATTACATCTATGAAAATTAATTTAAAAATTAACTACGTAGCCAGGCGCGGTGGCTCAAGCCTGTAATCCCAGCACTTTGGGAAGCCGAGGCGGGTGGATCACAAGGTCAAGTGATCGAGACCATCCTGGTCAACATGGTGAAACCCCGTCTCTACTAAAAATACAAAACATTAGCAGGGCATGGTGGCGCATGCCTGTAATCCCAGCTACTCGGAGGTTGAGGCAGGAGAATTGCCTGAACCCAGGAGGCGGTGGTTGCAGTGAGCCAAGATCGCACCATTGCACTCCAGCCTGGGTAACAAGAGTGAAACTCCGTCTCAAAAAAAAAAAAAAAAAATTAACTATGTCCTTCCACGTTTATAAAAATGAAACATGTCCTTCCAGTTGTAATGTCACTAACAGCTTAATGTGAATTAGCACAGCAGATGGCATGAATTCAGTGGGTGCCCCAGGGAAGAGATGTGCTAAAGGTAGACCCAGACACTGAATGACGTAACAAGGCAAGAAAGATAAACTGACCCCGCTCCTGGAGAAGGAGCCACATTTCCATGATGGGAGTGAGATTATCTGCTGAGCCCAAAGAAGAGATCTGCTAGGGCAGCTCACATCACAGAGTAGGTTTACTCATTTATTCATTCAGCCGCTCAATAAATATTTATTGAACACCTACTTCATGTCTTGTGCTAGGTACTGGGAATACAGTGAAGAACAACAATGAAACAATTTCTGCTATCACACAGAGATTACAATTTCTTAAGGAATCCAGGCCTTTGGAATGCAGTATGACAAATGTCATGAGAGAAAAAACATATAAGGTTTGCATGCCAGACATTTGTTTATTTATGAGTGAGTCGCTGGATATAATGGGCAGTATAATGACACACAGTGATGTCCCATTTTTCAGTTGGGACTTCCTGTCCAAAGTATTTTGTTTTTTATTTTTTATTTTATTTATTTATTTATTTAATTGAGACAGGGTCACCCAGGCTGGAATGCAGTAGTGTGATCACGGCTCACTGCAGCCTCGATCTCCCAAGCTCAAGTGATCTTCCCACCTTGTCTTCCCCCGACTAGTAGCTGGGACTACAGGTATGTGCCACTATGTCTGGCAATTTTAATTTTTTTTTTTGTAGAGATGGGGTCTCACTATGTAACCTCAAGTAATCCCCTGACCTTGACCTCCAAAAGTGCTGGGATTACAAGTGTCAGCCACTGTACCCAGCCTATTTTAACTTTCTATAGTGAATTATTATAGGTATAACTCATTTCAATCAAGTCTTGTTTTGTTTTTGTTTTTGTTTTTTTTTTTAATGGGCAAACTATTTACAGCATAAATACCTTACTGAGTTTTGGTTTGACACTCATTTATACTACTCCACTTATAACTACATGGCGTGATTGGTAATAGTTAATTATCTGTCCTTCCCATTTCATGGATAACTGCATGGTCTTTAATATTGATATAATGTAGCATTTGGAAGCTTCAGCTTCATCATTCATAAAACTAGGATAATAGTAGTCTATTTTGCTCATTTCTTTGCTGGGAATATTAAAAGAAATACATGTAAAGAACTTAGCACAGTGCTTGGCCCATGGAAATATCTCAGGAAACTTTAGTCATTGTATCCTGAGAGTAATAGCAATACTTTGTGCTGTGGCTATACACACAGAAAAGGGTGAGATGTGGTGCTCTGGTGAGGAAATGTTTTGGCCAATCCTTATAGCTTAGGAACATGAATCAAGCATTTGCTATTTGGCGGCTTAGATATTGGCAATCACTGTACCAGCTAATCACTGTACCAGCTAATCTCTTTGCTGGTAGAAAGACTGAGAAATTATCAGTTGAGAAATTCTTCATACTCTCAGAATCACATTGAGTATTTCGTAAACCAGGCAGACCAAGTTGATATTTTGAAATTGTAAGACTGAAGAATATCGGCTATTTCATATCTTCTTATAGGTCCTCAAATTTCCAAAAGTGCTGTTTCTTCATTGCCCATCTCCCTCTAAAGTGAGAAAACAGAAGCAGTCCAGTTGGGATCTTCTTTTCCTTCCACAGAATGAATATACAATCCTACATGTATCTGTACCTGCATTTTTTTGTCTTTATCCTGTTACTGCAGGCGACATGTCCAAGCTCCTAAGTGAGGGATCAAATCCCTTTTGACCTCAAAGACTTAACTCTCACAGATGTCTCCATTCTCTATTTCATTAGTCCTTTCCCCTCTACTGGATCATTCTCCTCCCAGCTTACAAAAAGTTTTAGTTTCTCCCACTTTAAACTAAAAAACTTTCCACTGATGTCTCATCATTCTCCAGCTGCTATCCCTATTTCTCTGCTGTCCTTCAGAACACCCTATCACCTTCCATTGTCTCTCCAATCTATTTTCATCAGCTTCTCTCCCCAAAAGTGATGGAAACAGTTTTGTTAAGGCCATTATTAACACTCGCGTTGCCAAAACCAGTAGTCCCTCCTCTGTCTCTGTGCCTTATCTTTCAGTGGTATTTGGTAGGATTGACCTTTGAAAAACCATCCTATCCTGGCTGCTGTGTCACATTCTCTAGTTTCTGCCCATTCTCTAGCCATTTCCTCTTAGTCTTCTTCGTTGGTACCTTTTTTCTCTGTTTGATTTCTTTTTTTTTTTGAGACGGAGACTTGCTCTGTCACCTAAGTTGGAGTAAAGTGGTGCAGTCTTGGCTCACTGCAACCTCTGCCTCCCGAGTTCAAGCAATTCTCCTACGTCAGCCTCCCGAGTAGCTGGGATTATAGGCGCCCGCCACCATGCCCAGCTAATTTTTGTATTTTTAGTAGAGACAGGGTTTCACCATGTTGGCCAGGCTGGTCTCAAACTCCTGACCTCAGGCGATCCACCTGCCTCAGCCTCCCAAAGTGCTGGGATTACAGGCGTGAGCCACGGCGCCCAGCTTTCTGTTTGATTTCTAAACGTTGCGGCACCCCCATCTAGGCCCTTGGCCCGCTCCTACCATGACAGATCTTATCTGGCCTTATAGCTTTATATTATACTTATTTGCCTATAACTCCGAAATGAATAAGTTTTACTCTTGCTATCTAGGCCTCCTACTTAATATATTCTTACTTGGATGCTCAGTGGGTGGCTCAAACCACTGTGAGCAAACAGAACTCTTGACTTTCCCTTGGAAGCATAGCTCCCATAGTCATCCCCATTCAATAAGCAGCATCATCTACCTAGATCCTTAATGTCTTACCCTGTGCATCCAGTCCACCAGCGAGGCAGCTCTATTTCTAGACTATATCCCGGTCCTGTTCATGCTTCCTGCTGTCCCCCCTTGGTCATTTATGATCAGTTATCTCCCTAGCAGCAGAAAGATCTTTTTAGTATATAAATAAGATCACATCATATAATCCCCTACTTAGTTAGCTTTCTATCAGACCGGAATCCGAAATGCTTCTTTGGTCCACCAGGCCCTGTTTGTGCTGGCCCTAGCCTGTCTCTCCAACCTCCTTTTGCCCATATTCTTCTCCCACGATGCTCCAGCCACACTGGTCTTCGGCATGCCTTGCAACAAGCCAAGCAACGCCCCACAGCTAGGGCCGTTGCATTTGCTATTTCCTTTGCCTGGACCGTTCTGCCTCCACATCTATGCTTGACAGGCTCCTTTCTGTAATTCAGGCCTTAGTTCAAAGTCACTTCTCCAGAAAGACTTTCCTGAACTACCCAACCTACATTCATTCTGCCCACCCCTGCCGCTTTGTTCTCTAGCACATTACCATTTTTATTTTCCCCACATACCATTCTCTGAATTGATCTTGGTCGCTTACCTACTTGTTTGTTTACTTGTTCCATGCTGATTCCTAAGTATCATCTCACACATCATCTGGAAACCAACGCTTGTTGGAGGAATGAACACTCTGGACACCCAACAAAGGTATTTCTTATAGTTGAGGGGGTTGTCTGTTCCACTGCTCACTGTCCTGTAAGTAAAGGCACACTCATATGAGAAATTTATTGCAGAATGTAGCAGCAGGAAAGCATTATTTCTGCTGAGAATTTTCAGTGCCTTTTTCTCCTCCGGTTTTAAAGCTGTCACTGTTATTTTCCGTTTTTGTATTGCTTTGGCTATCAGGAAGCTGAAAGCCAAATTTCAAACTCAAGGATGACAATCATAGTCTCTCCAATAGTGAACATAAGTTCTTCCTTCCTGAGATTGATTTCCTCCCTTTGTTGTCAGAAGTATGGTAATGAAATTTGTTACAAGTGGCCACAGTTCCTTTCTGGATAGCAGTGTGATTTAAACAAAAGCATTCAAAGTGTTAACATTCTGGCAAACACTGGACAGCTACCTCTCAAGGAATGTTGACTTGCAGCCATGTGGTATCGAATGGGAGCTCTCTGGCTTTAAGAGTTTATGAGCAACCTTTATTGTTGTTAGGTGATTTGCTGTGATTCATATTTGGGAATTCCCCAAGGTAGCTTTAGTTGGGGTTTGACTTGCCTAATAAGAGCCCAACCCTCTGGGAGTTTGGGGTTTTAGGCTTACTTGTATTTGTTGACTTGATGAGTGCCACTTCAGAGTTATGAACTAGAAAAGTTGATGGATCTCGAGAGTTTATTGTTCCCTTAGAGCTCAATGTCTCAGTAGCAGAAGAAATACACCTTTTAGTTTAGCCTTAAAACGTGATGTCTTGATCTCGAGTAAATTCATGGACTACACCCTTTTAAGGCTCAAAGGAACTGTTCTTAATTATTGTTTAGGTCCAGGAAGTGTTTTGAAGTTTATGAAGCATAATACATGCTTCTCCCTAGCCTGGCAAAATTAAAATGTAGACCTTTTAAAGTTCAGCCTGTGTTGCTATTTTAATTTATTGGCTACTTTAAATATTTTGTGGCAACAACATTCATAAAACAACAATAAGAAAAGCATTCACTGATTCCTTATTCTCAAATATTCTGTGATATTTGTACTAAATAGATATAGATGATGTAAAGAATATATATATCTGGTTAATCCATGAAGGCATAACAGTGGACAAATCTCTTTGAATAAAGTATGCTACTAAAATAGTCCTGATGGCCTAAATGCCATGTGGAGTAATGCTACTGTATATAAGAATTGTACCTTAATTTAAACGTTTTTCCCAAATAAATGCTGTAGTTAAGTACAACTTAACAATTGGTTACAAAATTATGTTTTAATTTTTAATGAAAACTTAAACATTGATTCGAGAAGTTTTGAAGAAGGAGTATGCAGAAATTTTTTTTTTTCTTTTTTGAGACAGAGTCTTTGTTGTCCGGCTGGAGTGCCGTAATGTGATCTCTGCTCACTGAAACCTCTGCCTCCTGAGTTCAAGGGATTCTCCTGCCTCAGCTTCTGGAGTAGCTGGGACTATAGGCTCATGCCACCACACCCAGCTAATTTTTGTATTTTTAGTAGAGATGGGGTTTCTCCATGTTGGGCAGAATGGTCTCCAATTCCTGACCTCATGTGATCTGCCTGCCTTGGCCTCCGAAAGTGCTGGGATTACAGGCGTGAGCCACTGTGCCTGGCCTGCAGGAAAAAAAAAAATTATGAACTATTTCCTTCCAGAAAGAAAAGGAATTAGTCTTTGGTAATCAAATTAAAAAATCAATAAATCAATCAACCATGTATTGTATTATACATTAAGTAATTTTTTAAATTAGCCTTTTAAAATACACAATTTTTTTTTTTTTTTTTGAGAGGGAGTCTCACTGTGTCACCCAGGCTGGAGTGCAATGGCATGATCTCTGCTCACTGCAACTTCCACCTCCCGGGCTCAAGCGATTCTCCTGCCCCAACCTACCAAGTAGCTGGGATTATAGGCACCCACCACCACAGCCAGCTGATTTTTGTATTTTTAGTAGAGACAGAGTTTCACCATGTTGGCCAGGCTGGTCTCAAACTCCTGATCTCAAATGATCCACCTGTCTCAGCTTCCCAAAGTGCTGAGATTACAGTCGTGAGCCACTGTACCTGGCCAGAAAACACATTTTATCCACACTTCTATGGGTTACTTTTCAATGTAAAAATCAGGATTTACATAAAGATGTGTTAATTTATAAGACTATTTAATGAAAGAATTCCAAGTAGTACATTTAAAACATATATGATATTACTGATAATTTTATGATATAAAATACAATAAAAATATGTTTATATATAACTTTATTAGAACGTTTGTATATCCAGTATTTTACCTATTACCTTCCCTTTCCCACAACTGAAACCAACATAGTCAATAGCAATTTCAATTTAAATGACTGTAAAGCCTTTTTTCATCATCTATCATAAAGCTTGGGTCATTTCCCAAGTACATTAGAAAGTGAGATTTATCTTAACTTATTCTGTCTGCTGTGTTCGTTTGTTAGGATGAGTAGCAAAGGTTGTCATGGAGTAACTGGTGGTATTGAACCAGCCATGTAATTTACTAGTGATTGATCATTCAGTCAAGAGTATTTACTGAACATCTTGCCAGAATTTTAAGTCTCCTTGGACATCTGGAGGGGAAAAAATACAAGCAGGACAAGTAAAACCATCATTTAAAATCTATAGAGAGAGACTTTATCTACCATAGTTTCAATTTAAAAGCAAGAAACTTTTCTATCCAACTTATTTGACAGTGCTGAAGATTTGAAAGTTTTTCAGTTCATTGCACATATCCTGGTATTTTGGCCAAGATAAGAAAACTCCAAGGTCCAGGACAATTTACTATGGAGTCATATGGTTACTGATCCCAGAACCAAATTCCTAGTGTTTATCTGGGCTCCGGGCTGCCTTTGAACCATAAGCACTCAGGGCCATCAGTCTTCTCATTAAAGTGAAGCTAATGGTACTTCTGGATTTTGTGTAATCAAGACTTTATAACAAAGATAATTTTCACCAAATAAAATGAACTGGGCTTTTGTTTTGTTTTCTTTTTTTGACATTAAATCTGAATCCAAAGAAATAATGGTGGTTAACTCAACTGCTTTTAGAGAAGAGGTCAATTAGGCCTGGGAAGTCTAGTTTTGTTCCCGACCATGATCCTTTCTGTTTTTTCACTCTTTCTTTCAGTATTGAAACGAATGGCCCACTCAATGTATCATAAGTGAATGACAGTCTATAAATGCCAGGGAAGACAGAGAGAGGTAGAAAGCAGCCCTCTTTGAAGATAAGTGGCAAACTCAAGATTGCTATAGCTAAGCACGTAACAATCCTCAACAGGGGAGATTTAAAAAGTTGTTTTGTAAGAAGGAATTTTTAAGTTGAAGTTTTAGTGCTGAGTAACTAAGAAAACCTACATGAGGGTCTGTGGTTATACGGAGCAGACACCATCTTCTTTCCCCCTTTTCTTGTTCTCATTCTAGTTCTCTAAGATGCAGCCTTTGAAGAGCTTACTAAAAATACAGATTGTTTTAAAGTTAGTACCAAAGATGACCTATTTATTTTTTTTAAAGCTCGTTTATGCAATGTTTTAGTTTTCAATGTGGCAAGAGAAGGGGGTGTGAGAACTGCCTCAGGTCTCTCATTTCCTGGGCTGCCTATGACTTCTGGGTAGAGGTGCCCTTCCTCATGACTCTGTGGCCACATGTGGTCTGCTAGCCATTTGCTTTGGCATCTGAGCTGGGAGAGAATGACTGATGTCATGGGCTCCTTCATGGAATTATTCACTGGCTTTGTTCACTGGGTCCCCAGGGCTACCAGGAGCAGCAAGAAGTTCTAAAAATGAAGAGGGAAATCATTGGATATAGAATTCATAACTAAAGCTTGCCTAGAAGGAGATTTTTATGTTTGAAAAGGACTCATTTTATGTGTAGATTTTAGACTTTGTATGTCAATTCTTTTTGGTTTTTTTTTGAGACAGAGTCTTGCTCTATTGCCCAGGCTACAGTGCAGTGGCACGAACTTGGCTCACTGCAACCTCTACCCTCGGGTTCAAGCAGTCTCCTGCCTCAGCCTCCCCAGTAGCTGGAATTACAGGCTCCCACCACCATGCCCAGCTAATTTTTGTATTTTAATAGAGACTGGGTTTCGTCATGTTTGCCAGGCTGATCTCAAACTCCTGACCTCAAGTGATCCGCCCACTTCAGCTTGCTAAAGTGCTGCGATTACAGGCGTGAGCCACCACGCCTGGCCTGTGTGTGGATTCTTTATTCTTTTTCTGAGAAATCATCTTTGTCATCTTTTTGCAGTTATCATCATCTGAGTTATCAGCGAGCATCTGTCAACTGCGTTGGCTTCCCTTTTCTGGCAGGCACCCTGGGTATCTTTTGCCTGCCTGGTATTACTTCTCACCTGTGTGTATACATTGTATTACTTCTCACCTGTGTGGATTCATTAACGGATACTCAACCTTGGATAGCCTCCCTTCAGGCAAACTTATCTGTTGATCTTTTCCTTCCCTAAATGCCGTCTGCAACCCTACTACATAATTCAGTAAGTGATTGTCCAGTTCAAGTTGTATGTGTTAACATGCAGCATACACATCTGTTCTCTAATCCAAAACACAAGTTCCTTGACAGCAGACATCAAAAAAATAGAGGTAGTAAGGAGATTGACGTATTCCCTTTGTATTGAGATTACTTTACCATGTGTATACGTAACCTCAAAGTAATTTAACAAAACGCATTACCCTTCCTGGTATATGTTGTAAATAAATAAATATCGTAAAAAATAAGAAGTAAAACAAAAAAAAGTATTTTATATAGGCTCAGTGTGATAACAAACAAAAGCTCATCTAGGTTTGATAAGTGCCCTTTGCTCTGAAGGGAAGATAAAAATAAATAATAGTGATAAGAGTTAACAAAATAAAACCCAACCTGTCTCGCTGAATGCTAATAATAGTTACTTTATCTCATATAGGCAGCTTCCAGATCAATGTAAAAAAGCTTTACTGAATATTAAGACCAGTGCTATTTACTTAGCTGCTCTCAAATGGGAATAAGCAGATATCAGCTATCAAGTTTCCAGGCTGGAAAAATCCATAAAGGCCACTGGACACAGACACCATGGGGACATCATCCAGACAGTTCATAAAAATAACTTGCCCAACATTTTTGGAAACTGATGCAAGCTATACTTGTGGCTCTGTCTGTTTCCTTTGCTTTATCCAGTAACAACAGAAAAGGAGGCCAGTCACCAGGACTATGATAACTTGGGTGTTTCAGGAGACAACCAGTACAACATAACACGGTAATTAATAACTCAACAGCCAATTACTGAGACAGTGCTAGTGTAAGCAATTAACATTTAAGATTCAGTCAGAATAGGTGCTTAAGTCCAGAACAAAGAAATTGATTGAGATACAAATATTTGAGCAGGACCATAGCCTCAGATCATTCCATCTCTGTTCACAGCAGGGGGAATCCCAATCCTGTGTCACATGAATACATAGAACAAACAACCATAATTTACTATCGTAGTCCATAAGAGTGCATCCATTCATTCAGAAATATTTACTGAACACCTGTAACAAGCTAAGCATTCTAGGGAATTCAAATGTATGTCAGTTATTCCCTAATTTTAAGGAACTTGAAGTCCAGTAGTGAAATAAGGTTTGCTCAGCTCACATGTTAATATCATATGAGAGGTACAATTGCTGTAACTATTTGGGGGATGGAGAGATCACTTCCAGTTACTTGATCAGGGAATGTTCTGCAGAGAGGAGGGCGCTTGGAAGGGACATACACTTAAAAACAAACTTTTTGTTAAAGCAAAATACACATATACAGGCTCACTGAATTCACAACTTGAAAACACTAGATATATAACCAGCACGCAGAGAGAATAGTACAGTATTCCAGAAGCCCCCAAGTCCCCCTCAATCACTCTTGGAGAAGTATGATTTTGTTAGATGAATATAGACAGAGATTATTGGAGGAAGGTTATGCACGAAGATGTGGAAATTGAAAGCCATGACCCATGTTTGGAGAATGGACTGAAGTGTAATTTGCTTGGGGTGTTGGCTAGAGAACAGAGTCGGGTCCACGTTGTACAGCTTTAAATGCCAAGTAGAGGAGTTAGATTTTATTCGTTAGCTGCTGAGGGCTTTTGAGCAAGAGGATTATTTTTGTAAGGCTTTTTGGTGATGGCTAATAATTTATTGGTGATGGGACAATTAAGAGACTGAAAGTTGGGAGACTGGCTGGGAAGCTTCTGTAATAACAGTCCGGGTATGAGACAATTTTGGCTCTGCAGTGACAGTGAGAACAGAGAGTAACTGACCATACACAGTCACTAAAGAGCCAGCAAGAACTAAACGACTGTGGATCTAGAGGAAGGGGGAGGAGCCAAAGAAAATTTTCTTCTAAAGCTCTAATCAAGAAGAAATTTAATAATTTTTTCGGGTAGTTGCTTGTTATTTACTTGTTGTATAGGTTAACACATTCTTTGAATGCTGTCTCTCCGAGAAATTCTGAAAACTTTCTTACAGTATTTGAAGAAAACCTTGAGTTACTCTCAAGAAACTCTAAAGAAAGCAACTGACCTTTCAGACAAAAAGAGTCCTTTGTTAGTCAGGAAACGTGGACTGTTTGTCTTTTCAGATGGATGTATGCTACAATAAACGTTTTGCTGGGGGGGAAAAATGACTCCAAAGAAGTCTTTTGAAGATGTGACAGGAACAGCAAATTATTGGGTGCTGAACACCTTCCTGTTTCTTCATCCTCTTAAATCATATTTATTAACTCAGATTTCTAGGTAGGATGATTTAACTTCATCGTATACGTTTAAGTGTAATGTGTTTCTACAGGAAACAAAAAACCTTTTTGAAGAAACTTTTTTGACAACTTCTATCACTGGCTATGGGGGTTATTTTTAATTGATGGCACCTCTTCCCCTCCCTCCCGCTCTGCCCCCATTCCATGCCTCTGCTTCCAATGCGGCGGGTTCTTGACTCAACAAACAATCAAGCGCGTAAGTTGTACTGTAATTATAACGTTTTTCAAGGTCTTTCTTAAGTGTACGTTTTACTACACAATCAGCACCTTATTTCTTCGAGACTGTTTGTTTCTGGAATTTTTGATGCGTCTGGTTGTTTCCAGGCACCAGGAATTGGTAGTAAAACAGGAGACTGAAAAGTCAGTTCTGAAAGCTGGTGTGTGTACAGGTAACCAAGAGTCATTTCTGAGACCAGACGGAAGGGAAGGAACTTGACTTGGGAAAGAGCGCGTGGGTGGGAAAAGGACGGGACTCCGGGAAGATGAGAGGTGGCAGAGGTGGGACCCCATGCTCTCTCTAGACCTTAAAGTCCACGGTCCGGGTGGGCGGGTTCCGGTGGTCTGGAGCCCGGCCCGCGCATCTCTCCACGCCCCTTCCCGGGCTAAAGTTCCCAAACTTTTCCTCCAGCGGAGAGAGGAAGGGTGTTACTAAGTTTAAAAGGGAAGTCCCTCCCCTTTCCCGGACTTCGATTGGTGGAAGTTTGCCACGCCCCCGCCAGGGTGGCGGTTCGATTGGCTACCGGAGTGGAGCCCCGCCTCAGACCCGCAGCCGTCGGCCTCCCGGGCCCCCAGGTGGCAGGCAGGTGGGGAGGGTACAGCCCGCGCCGCTTCTGCCGCTGCCCGCAGCCGCCCGCAGCCGCCGCCGCCGCCTCCCCATCGCGCGCTCGCGTCCCGCATCCCGCATCCCGCAGCCTTTAAGGTTCGCGAGCGGACCAGGCACGCCGAGCTGGCGGCGCGCGGGACTGGCTAGAGTTAGCCATGAAGAGCCTCAAGTCCCGCCTGAGGAGGCAGGACGCGCCCGGCCCCTCGTCGTCCGGCGCCGCCGCCGCCGCCGTCAGCGCGGTGAGTCCTGCGGCCCGGGCTGCCCGGCGCTCCGCTCTGGCGAGCAGCGCAGCCCTCCTTTGCTGGCGAGCTCGCGCGCCGCCTTCCTTGACTTTTCCGCAGCCCGTCCCGATTCGGCGGCCCTGGCGACTCCTCCCTCAGACTGCAGACCCCGTCAGCCCAGAGACCCCGGGGATCCTCCCCGTCGCCGCGCCGAGCCTCTACGGGTTTCTTCCCCACCCCTTTCCCCGAGCCTCCGAGCTTCTGGAAGAAACCTCAGTACTGCGGTTAAGGCCCCCTCCTCCTAAATCCAGCGTTCCTCGATCGGCCCCCCTACTCCGCCCTTTCCGTTGACCCCTCCCTCTTCTCTCCCGGCGCTCGCCCAGCTCCCCACGCTCGCTCGGCCCGGCTGCCTCCCCGGCGTCCCCGGGGCCAGGGCTCGCACAACGCAGGCCAGGTGGGCAGGGCTGCGCAGCCCGCGCCATCGTGCCCGGACTCCGGACCTTCCCCGGGTCTGAGACTGAGCGTCAAGCCCTGCCAAGCTGGTGGACGTCCTGTGCTGGCCGCTGTCGCTGTCACTGGGAAGTTTGATTCCCCAGCGAGGCAGAGGGAATCGGCGTAGTTGTAAAGGCAAAGCCCTTCAGGGGTGATGACCCTGGAGATGTTGAAGTCGGGAGGGTGATGGTGATGTGGGCCGCGGAAATCGCACCTGTGGGGCGGGTCCGTGCTGGGCGCTTTCGGTGCAGACCTGCAGTGCAGCCTCCGTGTGCGCGCCAAGGAGTAGTCAGGGCCTCTTTGGTTGGCAGGAGAACAGAAATCTTGAGAAACAACCTGACCGCAGATGTTGTGATTTGGATAATTTGACAGGTTACAAGAATGGCGATAGCATCAAAATTCTGTATCATTAAAATAAGTGCTACTTAAAAAGTCGTGAAGAGTCGAACATAACGGAGATGTTATGCTCAAACTGCCCAGTTACCTAGTTGGGGTAATTAAAATGGACCTTTACAATTTAACAACGATTTTACCAAAGGATTATATTCTTTTTATCAGAATACTAATTCATCTGCTTCTGCTTTTTTGAGCTAATTCAGAATTGTGCCTTTCTCTCCACCTGTATCTAGGATTATTTTCCTTGGACATAAAGGAAATTGTGGAGGAACTAACTAGATTTAAATTCCCATTTCAAAAAAAAGTAGATTCAGATGACGTAATTGATGTTCTTTAATAAAGCATGAAGTCGTTTTATGAGCTCATAGAAAAGAGAGATTGCTTTGTTTCACTTTCTTTTTTTTTAAGCCAGTAATTGGCAGAAATGCCATTTAGTGATATTGGGGGTCATTACAGTTAAGATTCTACTTCTCTATAATGCAGGCTGTGTTTTTAGCTTTATAGAAGATACACATTTCTGGGTTTATTAGCTGTATTTTCCCTGGTTGTGTTTGGTTTGCACTAAGAATTTACATCCCGCTTGGAGGTTCATAAGCCTTAATTTTACGAAGTTTTCTGGAAATGCAGAGTATTTGTTGGCATAATGAGCATGACAGTTCACCTTTTATACATTTGGAACATAAAAGCATCTCTTTGAGCTTAAATCTTTCGCACTCACTAAATTGATCATTCTGTTTTTCTCAAAATGGCATAATAAAGATAAACATGTGATATGAACCTATTTATGTAGAAAAATATTTCTGTTTAAATATTAGAATAAGTTCTGTACAGTTTAAAAATAAAAGCATAGTAATGAATAAAACTTTGAATAAATTCTGTTTAATTTTAAAATAAAACTGTAGTGATGAATAAAACCAAGCCAACCATTGATAGAATAAAACACATGTACAGGAGAAGTAGATCCTTTCTGCTTTTCAATCTGTAAACCACAATCCCAGATTTGGTCACATGTGTATATATTGTATGATTGGGCCCCTCTTTTTTTGCCTTTAAAAACAATTATTTTTTGAATAGGTAATATAGCACATGGTTTAATATTTGAAAGGAATAAAAATATTTACAACAAAATATCGATACCATGTTTTAACCCCTGCTTCAACCACGCTGCCCCACTTCCTCAGAGGCCAGTGGTGATATTAGTTGCTTGCATGTTCCTCCAGAGAGAGCTTGGCATATACAAGCAAATATGAGTATAAATAGTTACCCTTTATAGAAATGATAGCACATTGTAGTTGCTGTTTCATATCTTGGGCTTTTTTGTACTGTAAATATCTGAGCCCATTCAGAGCCTCCCTACTCATATCTTTTGCTGTCATGTACAATTCTGTGATTAATATTTATATTTCAGGTGAGTGTCTATACCTGTAGGATGAATTCCTAAAAGTCAATTGCTGGGTTAAAGGATATATGCATTTGTAATTTTGAAGGATGTTGTCAAGTTTCCTTTCATGCATCATGGAACCAGTTTTCCAAGAAATGTTTTCCAAGCTTTTAGTAGAATTCTGCTCAAAATTTTTTATCTTTGCTAGCCTGATAGGTAAAATATGGTATCTTAGTGTACTTTAGATTTGTATTTATTTTATTATGAATGAAGTTGAGCATCTTTTTATATTTTTATGAACACTTTTCCTGTTCTTTCTGTGAACAGTTTACCCTTTCCATTTTTCTATTGGGTTGTTGATATTTTTTTTCCCTATTCATTTGTGTGTACTTTAAATCAGGGAAATTAGCCCTTTTCATATGAATAACTAATATTTCTTAATTGGTTATTTGTCTTAAGACATTTTTTTGGTGGCATTTGCAGTGCAGAAAGCGATTTTTTTTTTTTGAGACCAAGTCTTGCTGTGTCAGCAGGCTGGAGCGCAGTGGTGTGATCTCAGCTCACTGCAACCTCTGCCTCCCAGGTTCAAGCGATTCGTTCTCCTGCCTTAGCCTCCTGAGTAGCTGGGTTTACAGGCACGTGCCACAACATCCAGCTAATTTTTGTATTTTGAGTAGAGATGGGGTTTCACCATGTTGGTCAGGATGGTCTAGAAGGTGGTTATTGTTATTATTATTATTATTATTATTATTATTTTGAGACAGAGTTTTGCGCTTGTTGCTGAGACTGGAGTGCAGTGGGATGATCTCGGCCCACCACAACCTCTGCCTCCCAGGTTCAAGCCACCCTCCTGCGTCAGCCTCTGGAGGGCATGCGCCACCATGCCCAGCTAATTTTGTAGTTTTAGTAGAGGTGGGGTTTCTCCATGTTGGTCAGGCTGGTCTTGAACTCCTGACCTCAGATGATCTGCCCACCTCTGCCTCCCAAAGTGCTGGGATTACAGGCATGTGCCACTGTGCCTGGCCAGAAGGTGGTTATTTTTATACAATTGAATGTATAACCTTTTTTTTTTTTTTTTGAGACGGTGTTTCACTCTTGTTACCCAGGCTGGAGCGCAATGGCGCCATCTCGGCTCACCGCAACCTCCGCCTTCTGAGTTCAGGCAATTCTCCTGCCTCAACCTCCTGAGTCGCTGAGATTACAGGCACGCGCCACCATGCCCAGCTAATTTTTTGTATTTTTAGTAGAGACGGGGTTTCACCATGTTGATCAGGATGGTCTCGATCTCTTGACCTCGTGATCCACCTGTCTCGGCCTCCCAAAGTGCTGGGATTACAGGCTTGAGCCAACGCGCCCGGCCGAATTTATAACCTTTTATGAAACTTAGGTTTATGTTATATCTTGACCTTTTCACTCTGCAATATTCAATATTAAACACTCCCCCAGTTTCTTCTAATTTTTTTTTCTTTTTTTAACATTTAAGTCTTTGATACATAAGATATTTATTATGATGTAAGGTAAATCTTGTTTTCTCCTCTTTCCTTTATGGGTACCTAATTTGAGTCTTACAGTGTTTATTTAATTATCTTGGAAATAGCCATTATATCCTTTGTACAACTTTGATTTGAGATAAAATTTTAAAATGTTTATTTCATAAATAATTTCCTTTGTGTATTTATTTAAGCTTATTATATGAAGGAGACACACATTAGCAGTAGACAGGTATGCGACATATAGATATTTTATTACATAATATGTGGAGTATAGCATATTAGCTTAGTATGCTAAATTAGAATTATGTGCAGATTATGGGCAAAAATGGTAATTGTAAGTATTCTGAGTAGTGCCATTGTTATAAATATGCCAATGAATTTAGAGTTTACTAAATGGGAATGTTTGTACACATATAAATATAGTTCACAATTACAAATTATGGATAAACTACTTTTGCGGATTAGTCCTTGACTAGCAAATCTGGAGATGGCTGCATCTATTAACAATAAACAACAAAGAGTGTTTTTATTGCTACATATTTTATTTATTTATTTATTTATTTATTTATTTTTTGAGGTGGAGTTTCATTCTTGTTGCCCAGGCTGGAGTGCAATGGCGTGATCTCAGCTCACTGCAACCTCCACCTCCTGAGTTCAAGCAATTCACTTGCCTCAGCCTCCCGAGTAGCTGGGATAACAGGCGCCCGCCACCATGCCCGGCTGATTTTCTGTATTTTTAGTAGACATGGGGTTTTACCATGTTGGCCAGGCTGGTCTCAAACTCCTGGCCTCAAGTGATCCATCTGCCTTGGCCTCCCGAAGTGATGGGGTTACAAGCGTG